ATCGATTCCGAGAAAATGCACTTCACCATTGGGGGTATGCTGAGCGGACATCGTCGAGGCATTTGGGATGCGCGTTTTTCGCCCAGCACTCATGTACCACTTTTGCTTTTTATTGCAGTTCTGTAAATGCAGTTTTTAAGTTTTTCGTCTTCACACTCAGACTTTTCCACTAAACCAAACAAATTTTGCTGTTTCAGGTTGTTGTGACATGCAGTGGGGACTCGTTTATCAGAATTTTTTCATTGCCAAGCCGCGATTGCATCGCAACCTTGGCTGGACATCCATCCGCTGTACTCTGTGTAATCATTTCATCTCTTTGTAAAGGCTCTCTCATTTACAGCGCTTACTCATAACTGTACCGGAAACTGAAGAATATAAAAGCTGAAAAATTTTGGCGCTTTTTCAGTTTGCTTGGTTTCTGTTAATTTTAAATAATTGCAAATTTCAGCGTTTTTCAGGGTTTATTTTTATGCTTTTTTTGCAGCTATGCAATGCAAAAATGCATATTGACGAGGGTTGTCTGTATGTGCGTCCGTCCCGATTTTTCATCTCAAGACCTATAAAAGCTGCAGGGCTGAGACTTTGGGAACTTAATCTACATACACGCACGGGCCCCAATCCCCAAAATGGGCGCCGTTACCCGCGTAATACCCGCGTGCGAGCCTGCCAAAGTTTTTTACGGGTAAGTTCATAACTCGGGAATCTGAGAAGCTAGAAAACTGAAATCTTACGGGGATGTTTCCCGCCCAAGTGGATATTAATGAGCTCAAACCCAGCCCACGGGTAAGCGTGGTACCTACGTACGGGCCCGTGAAGGTTTCTTTCGTGTAAGTTGCTAACTCGGAAACGTGAGAAGCTAGAAGACTGGAATTTTGAAGGGGTGTTTCCTGACAGTCCTGGTGGCCAGTCTTAATTTGTTTAGCTAGAAGCATCTGCCGGAAAAACCAGTGGGGAGCTATGCAAAAAACGCATCTTCGCACGGGCAGCCTGTGCGTTGGCTATTTATTTTATAAGTGTTTTTGTAGGCGATCGTTGTTAATGGTGGAAAACAAGTAGTATCTGCGGACAGTGGTGGCCTGCTCAAAATATGGGATATTGCTGCTAGCGAGTGCATCAGCACAGTAGAAGCACACGACGACAAGATATGGGCGTTGCAAGCATCGAACAATGAAAGCCGATTTGTCACCGGTGCGATATGCATTTCTCAATTACCGAACATTTTTAATAGAAAAACGAAGGGACATTTCACTGAAAAGCTATTGCTAATGGCCCTGAAGTATTGCGGGAGCATCAGTTGGACGCGCACTTAATATTCATTTTCACACAGCTGTATTATAGCAAGCGGCGATGGGCGGATCAGAATATGGGAGGATGTGTCACAGAAAAAACGTGACGAAGAAGCGCGCAGTCAAGCCGAAAAGGCAAGAAATGAGCAGATCCTCTCGAACCTCATGGATCAAAAGCGTTACAGCGAAGCTTTGGGATTCTCCTTAACGCTTTCCAGGCCATACAGGTAATCATTCAGGACATTT